TTGACCTAATTTTACGTTTTCATGTTCTACAGCATTCCACATATAACTTTGGATATGAAGTAAATGCCCAGTCTAGTCTTCGTTTCCAGCTGGGATGATAACTGTTTTGTCAATAGTTAAAAAAAATTACTTAGTCCTCACAACTGACACATTGTTCATGGATATTTCTTCGTAACATGTTATGAAACAGGGAGAATTTTAAGTTACGATTATACGTTTTTATGGAGTCATTATTTGGGCGTTACCGTACAGCACAAAGAAACTCTTGGAATTTTCAATACTACATGAACACTTTGAAGGTATTATTCTCCTAGCTCTATTGCCCACACGTTATGATGTACACCCAACTTTACACTGATTTGTAATTTGTAGATCATATCAATTTTATCCATCACAGAAGTTCTCAATCCTTAAAAATAACATCTGGCCAGGCAATAGTGGCTGCATACCTATGTCAATAAGCATTTTTCTTGTTGTTGTGTTTTTAGAACATTTCATTGTTTACAGTCAAGGTTGTAATATCCTTGTTGACCGCAATGACAACTTCTACTCGCCTACCTGTCACAACATCTTATTTTCCAACAAAATATATTTGCTAGCAGTTCTTAGCATAATATCAGTTGTTACCAAACTTAAGTGACTTTTCCGGAGATAATGTACATTTATTTAGATATTCAGCTGAATTGAGTCGTGAATTGTATACATCTTAGCATAACTCAATGGCTTTCTTGAACAATAGTAAATATTGTAGCCACAATATAAAGGGTTAATCGCAATTTATAAAAACATTGTTCCAGATGCTGTCCATGGAAATACTTCCCCAATCATCGATCATTGTGATGGCTATGATTATGCATCCTTGCCCAAAGCCACAATCTGTATTGTAATAGACTTTTGCAAAAGCTAGCCAGGTTAATTCTAGACCACATATCTTCACAAACGTCCCACAAGCTCTCCAATATATATAGACGTCAGCTTCCAAAATGATGTTCGACGTTTAAGCAGAAATAAGACCACAGAAGTTCATTGGTGTTCAGTCAGATAGATGAATTTTGGAGATAAGAGAGCGTGAGTGACAGTTTCATTTTCCATATTTGATAGAAACGCTTCTGTTGCTTAGACATCTGACTTACTTTATCCTGATGTAGCCATATCTTCTTGTTATTCTGGCCATACATTGCAGGAATTTCATCTCATGTAACTGTTATTAATACTTCTCCATATAGTAGCTAGAGTTTTACTTTCTGAAATTTAAATTTCTCACTATATGAGAAACATACAAAATTATCAGTAGCAAGTCATTATTCTTGCAGTAGTCATTCAAGTACACCAAGTTTCTCCTCTCACTTCTGAAATTTGTCTTTCATTCACCAATGTACTTTGGAAGCAGCTTGTGCACTCGTGATTTATAATTATTAACAATGGCAAGATTTTTGTGAAGTATCTTCTGTACAAATTATTGAGATAGATGTATTTTGTTAACACTAGGATGCAAGAGTAACGCTACTTCAATTTCGTAAATAAAATAATAAACGCAGGTTGTTTAATTTTCCTTAAAGCGTGATTGGATGTCTTCGTTACTTCGTCTCTTCTGGCGTGTGAACCGTTTTTGGACAGAATCGTCACCGGGGACGAAAAATGGATTCTCTTTGCGAATATTAAACGCCAAAAACAATGGCTCAGTCCCAGACAAAAACCACTTTCGATCCAAAAACCTGGACTCCATCCGCAGAAAGTGATGTTTTGCATTTGGTGGGACATCAAAGGAGTAATTCATTTTCAACTCCTCAATCCACATCGAACTGTCAATTAGGAGATCTATAGTCTGCAACTGGAACGTTTAAATCAAGCCCTTCATCAGAAACACCCTTCAGTTGTCAATCGGAAAGGTGTTCTTTTTCTCTACGACAATGCACGTCCACATGTGGCACGTTTGACGCAATACTAGATTATGGAGTTGGGTTGGGAAGTTCTCCTCCACCCACCATATTCTCCAGATATGGCACCATCAGATTACCATCTTTTTCGTTCGCTGCAACACCATTTTAATGGTAAAACGTATGCAAAGGTGTTAAAGGGGACATCAACATGTTTTTTTTTGTTATTTTTTGCTTCAAAGCCAAGTGATTTCTTTAATCAGGGCATTAACAACCTGACTGTAAGATGGAAAACATCATAGATAAGAATGGAGGCTATTTCATTTAATAAAAGTTTTGTTTTGATATACAAGTTGTTCGTGTTTTTTCATCTAAAATTAAGCGACATCAATTTCTTGACTACCTAATACATCTTTTTGCAGCAGTGCACTGTCTACTGACTGGAAATTTGCCATAAGTCAAATACGTCGTTACTAAGCGTGTCATCATCGCACCAAGACTTGTATCTGTGGCGAAACTCCACTTTATTACCATATGCAAGTCGATCTTAAAATGTAAATAACCATACACGCATTCTGCTGATGTTTCCAGATTATTGTTAATTCTATATTTAATTGGTCTGTGTGTGCTTTTCCCCCCTTCCTTTGAGCTACTGGTTTCTTTGTTCTAAGTCCTCCCTAAAATTTTGTTCACACTATCTTGTTTTGCTACAATATTCTCTGTTGGGTTCCTAACTACTTCTACCATGCTTTTATAATACATCTTTTTTGTTTGCACGTACCATACTAAGTATTCCTTGTTCAGTCCCATAAATCCATTCCTGTCACCTTGATTACTATGTAATTTATCTATATTTTATTTGTGTGTTATATTGAGCTCATTGTTCATAATTGTTAGAAAAATAAGAAATATTATTGTTGACTATCCTCTTATTGGCCGTTTTATTGGGATCTTTGGCGATAATATTCTGGATTCACCATGTCACAGACTCCACAAGATGCCATATTATGTCTTGTTCAGTTGCAGGTCACTCTCGAAGGAATTGCTTCACAAATACTGGGAGATTATTACTAGTGGTAAGTTTAAATCAAATTCGTCCCAAAGATGTATAGCCTTGGATAAGGAGGATGGCTGAAGTCACCATCGTACTATTTGAACTACTACAGACAATCGAGTGAGGTTAATTAAACCATTACTATAATGCAAGAGCTGCTGGCCATTATGGAGAATGTGATAAGCAACAATGTTCAGATACATTCCGGATGCTAATCCATCTTCTAAAGGAATCGGAGGGCTCAACCTCTGCCATAAAAACTTTTAACCTCACCATTACACCACATGTCACAGCTTGCATTGTCGGAACAACACAAGTAGAGTCAATTAATTTATATTTTCCCTCTAACTAAATACAGACAAGGAAAAAAACGTGTTTCTTCAGACCACATCGCACGTTTCCACTCGTTCATTTTCCACACCTTTCACTTCAAGCACCATTAAAGATGTGTTTTCCTGTTTACATCAGATGTTTTTTTTTTTATCTGCTTCTCGGTTGCTATATGACATTTTTTGAAACTTTTTTTTCATTTTAAGGTTGAAATTAGTGGAATCCTATCCACTGTTGAAGGAATTAGTCAAATTTGACATGGTCTGCTATTTAATGTACCTTAAAACTTGTCTACCATGTTTTTCTTCAGTCTATTTTGCATATGCAAATACATTAAATGTTCTACAAATATTTGTGTGTAAATTAGCCAGTCACTGTAAGTTTATATCTGTTGTAAAGAAGGTTAGCATATTAAATAATTGTAATATGTCATTAACTGTAATTGTGGTAAAGCAGAAGAAAACTGTGCTCTTCCTCGGTTGAATTGAATACAACATATATTCTACTCTTCTTAAGCCTTGGTACTTGGCCACAAGTTGATGTAGAATATAGATCCAGTAGACATCCAGATGTGTCAGTGCTTATGCCCAATTGGCGTAGTGATGAAATGGAATTAGTTTAAGAGATTTCAGGGTTAACTTTTTTTTCTGGTAATTGCCAAGTTATAAATAGTTAGATTTTCACAAAATTGTTTTAAACTTAAATACTTATTACAGTGGCTTCTGGAAAAAAATTATTTTGTAAGGTTTGTCTGTCTTCGGCAGATATCAATGTTGCATTATATTTTAGTTAAATGTTCAATAAAACAACGAATCATCAGTTAATTAACAAACAGGAATGTTTAGTGTAAACTGTGGTTACTTTACTGAATAAATAAAGGACTACGTGTCTCTTCAATCATTTGTTCGGTTCTGCACTAACTATGAGGTTTGGAAGAAAGCCTCAGGTCCACACATACGCATAATAAATTATAAAACTACAAACCTTTATATAATACACACACACACACAGTTTACTGGTCTACACATACACACAATAAATTATAAAACTACAAACCTTTATATAATATACACACACACAGTTTACTAGTCTACACATACACACAATAAATTAAAAACTACAAACCTTTATATAATATACACACACACAGTTTACTAGTCTACACATACACACAATAAATTATAAAACTACAAACCTTTATATAACACACACACACAGAGTTTACTGGTCTACGCATACACACAATAAATTATAAAACTACAAACCTTTATATAACACACACACACAGAGTTTACTGGTCTACACATACACACAATAGATTATAAAACTACAAACCTTTATACTGGTCTATACATACACACAATGAATTATAAACACACACAGAGTTTCCTTAATTCATGATAATATGTATTACATACACAAATCTATTTTATCATAAACACAGACTTTGCTATAAACACCTTTCACGTTGACCGTATATATATATATATATAATATTATTGAAAACAGTATCCCACTACCATACACTGCATATGATTTACTGTAAATGTTTTAATTGTATACGTGTTCTTGACAGAGACGTCCATTCTTTATTCTGCATTTAACTCGTTACTTACCTTAACATATAAACATTTTATCATCCCAAATCTCAGTTGAATGGATTTGTTATTACTTAAATCAAGTGCTCTTATTCAATTAAATGAATTACTAAATTAGTTAATTTACAAAATGCAAAAAAATCAAACATATTTTTTTATTAAATGAATGTTCAAACATAAACTACAGAATACGTACATGTATATCTCTCTCTCTCTCTATATATATATATATATATATATATATTCATATATTTGTACATTGTTTCCTGTGTACAGTCTGATGTTTAGTTGGCAGTTATCAAACACAAGTTGGTTAAGTTTTACTATTTACACGAGCTAACTTCTGCCACTTTCACCAACTTGCCATTAATCTGGAAGTATCCCAAGCAACTTAACCAGAGACATAACTAAAGTCATTCTTTTGACATGTAAAGCACAGCAATTATTGCTCTGGAGTGACAGAATTTCCATGAACAAACTTCAGTCAACACTTAGGAAGAAGAACAAGCTTACTTGGGTGGATCAGATGTGTCGGAAACAAAACCGGGCCTTAACATATGTGAAGGAGAAACTTCTGACCATCTCCGGTTCATTCCACTGCCTTTACTAGGATCTAGTCCCATTTTAGGATTACAAGGTGAATCTAAGTTCTGGCTCGCGCAGAGCAAGCTGCTTGCCATTAAATTTGATTTGGATTTTGGACGAGGTGTGTTGCGAAATCCTTCGAAAAAGCTCCATTTGCTCTTAGGAGAGCTGTGTTGTGGGGTACTTAAGTGTTTCTCTAATGGAAATGAATGCTTTCGCTTGCCGTCCAGACACACTAAACCTTGTTTCTCCTCTTTACAAATCTCAGACCTTGGTAATGATTTGGGTCTGGAAGACACCAAATCATTATTTTGATTCTCATCATTAAAAGTTCTACTTATTGTCATAGAACTGACATCAATAGATTTGCTTTTTTTATCCAACCCTGGAAACCACAATGAGTCATTGCAAACTCCCTTTGAATCCTTTGATGGTTTTTGAGATGAGGAAGGATGGGATAAAGTTTTATGTACTGCTGGGTTCCACAATGATCCTAGTTCCAGTTCCGAGCTGCAAGACAACAAAAGAAAGCTTTTGTAAGTACTTCCACCATTAGCGCTAAAGTAAGAACACAGCTTGAAACTTTACAGTTTTAATACCAGAACTGTTTGTAGTCGATTTACCTTGGTCCGGGTGTTGTTTATAAACTGGGAATTATTTACTTCAACATACAAATACACTGTTGATTTAATTAGTTTCATCACTCACATTATTAACATTTATTTCACTGCTATATATTCTGCTGTATTGGAAACATAAAATACTACATCTGATACACTTTACTTAGATATAAACATTAAAATAATCAAGACGTCTGTTAATATAAATATCTTTACAGGTGTCTAGAATTTGCTTTCTAAATTTATGAACCTGTTTCACCTTTAAACAAAACATTCTACAATTTCTTAGGTACTTAGATTTTGCCTAATTGACTATAAACTACAATATTTTTCTAATAAAGAACTTTTAGTTATAAGACTTACACAATGGTTTTCAACAACATTGATTTTTTAAACATTTCATGTTCAATATTATAAAATATTATACAAACTAAAATTGTGGCATGTAATTTAAAGGATTAGCACAAGTTTATGGTCCACAGAATATATAAGGAGATTTGTCTGTATTGTCCTTCTAACAGAGTATATAAGGAGATTTGTCTGTATTGTCCTACTAACACAGAGTATATAAGGAAATTTGTCTGTATTGTCCTACTAACACAGTGTATATAAGGAGATTTGTTTACATTGTCCTACTAACACAGAGTATATAACGATATTTGTCTGTATTGTCCTGCTAACACAGAGTATATAAGGAGATTTGTCTGTATTGTCCTACTAACACAGTGTATATAAGGAGATTTGTTTACATTGTCCTACTAACACAGAGTATATAACGATATTTGTCTGTATTGTCCTACTAACACAGAGTATACAAGGATATCTGTCTGTATTGTCCTACTAACACAGAGTATACAAGGATATCTGTCTGTATTGTCCTACTAACACAGAGTATACAAGGAGATTTGTCTGTATTGTCGTACTAACACAGAGTATATAAGGAGATTTGTCTGTATTGTCGTACTAACACAGTGTATATAAGGAGATTTGTCTGTATTGTCGTACTAACACAGTGTATATAACGATATTTGTCTGTATTGTCGTACTAACACAGAGTATA